ATTTGGGAAGGAGTACTTATTTATAATAGTTAGGGTAAACTATATGTTGATATATTATATTTAACAACAAATGGTCAAACATTGGGATTTGAAAGACATTGAAACTTTCTAGTCTCGTTTTTGATTTTGTTTTTGATGCTTTCTCATTATAGAGTATATTAACTACTACAAAGCTAGACCAGAATTGAATGTCCTATTAGCAACTTATATTGAATACATCCAAAAATGAACTTATTATCTTCCTTCCCTCTTCACTACCTCTCTTCTTGCCTCCCTCCTTTTCTTTTTTTTATCTTGTTCCTTCCACATACATGTATTTGTTACGTGCTATTGCCAGGTTCTATACTAGGGAATGGGTGTGCAATTGTGAATAAAATAGTTACAATTCCTGCCCTCATGCATCTTATAAATTAGCTAGAAAGACATATTAAACAAATTAATTATAGAAATAATTATTTCAAAATAGTGTTGATGAGTGCAATGAAGGAAAGCTCTGCATTCAACAAGAGTAAATAACATGTAAACAAGATGGAAACCTAACTTGGTTGAGGGGTGCTGGGGAGAGTCATGGATGCCAGTCCTGAGCTGAGACATGAAGGATGAGGCGGAGAAGTTTCTAGGTAGAGGTAATATCATTTCTCCTAGACTTACGCATCCTTTTCTTTTTTCTGTTTCATTTCAAAGATGATTGTTCTGCAATACAACCCAGCTTAAAATCTTCACATTGTCTTTAACATTTTATTCTCTTTTGACTAAATAAATAATTGGCCAATTCTCTTGATTCAGCATCTTCTTTCCTCTATTCCCATGATCTTGACTGAATTCCCATTCTCACTACATTTGTTACATCTTTCTTTGCCTTTTTCCTGTAGCTTTATTTTTTCCTTTATTTAATAAATATTTATTGAGCTCTTCTTGTGTGCTCTGCTAGTGCCGGTGTCACAGAAGTGAACAAGATAAACATGGCTATCACAGAGCTCGCAATCCACAAGAGGAAAGAGATGATTGACAAGTAGGGACAGCGTGCTAAGCCACAGGGAAGGCTTTCTCTTCCTAGAGGAAGGGGTATTCAAGCTGAGGCCTGAGGGGGTGAACAGGAGGACTAGAGGGCTCAGGTGGGTGACAAGAAATGATGTAGCGGAGAAAAGCTGGCTCCAATTGTGAAGGGCCTTGCCAACCATCTTAAATAGTTTTGTTTTTTTTTTCCTAAGAGCACTGAGAGCCACTGAAAGGTTTTAAGCAGGACAGTGAGGCGATCAGAAACATCCCTTCTTTTGTGGGCTGGAATGAAGAGAGATGCTGAGATAAATATAGGAAAATGAAAAATTTGGTGAGGAAGATGATGAATTCAGGTTTTTTTTCTTCCAACTGGTCCTCTCACCTTCAGTCTCCTCCCCTTCCATAGCCCATCCAATCTTCTCACATGCTGCTGTGTAAGATGAATCCCTGGCATATGCTTCTGATCTCCACTCAAAGAATTTTAATGATGTGTCTACAGTGCATGGAATAAAATCTAAATTCCTCACCCTATTATTTAAAGCTTACAATGATCTGGCCCCACCTCTGTTTAATTCTTCATTTCCAGGACTCCTGTTTATGTCTTCCTGGCTGTAACCATGCACTCCACAGTCCAGAACTTTCCCACAACATGCTTTTGCCTTAGGCTCCTCCCTCCTTTCCTCTTCTCCTTCACTCTGAACCTGTTTCTCCTCAGGTCCTTGCTCAGACATCAGCTCTCCTGTGATAACTTCACTTGTTTGCACTGAAATTAATTTCCCTTTTCCCTGAATCCTCATCATCATGCAATGCACAGGATAAAGGCCTTCATCACCTCCCCCAGATAGTAGAGCCATTTAGAAAGGCAGGACAATGCAGTTCTAGTAAGCATCAACTCTGGGACCAAACTGCCTGAATTAAGATGCTGGCTCTGATGCTTCCTAGCTATGTGACCTTGGGCACATCACTTAAATTCTCTGTGCCTCATTCCTCATCTGTAAAATAAAACTCGCTGCTTTATAAGGTATTGTGAGGAGTAAATGCATGCAAAAATGCTTAGTTTAGTGTCTACAATATTGAAAGTGCTACATGAGTATTGAGTATGATCATACCATTATTTTATCATTTACATATGATAGCCAGTCTACTAAATTATAACTTCTTTGAGAAGCTAATTCACATCTGATTTATTTTTATGGCTTCCAAATTCCTTACTGCCTCACACAGAGTAAGTACATATTGAGCATATGAATTAGAATCACAATGATTAGTGAACCCTAAACAGAGTTTTCCAATAGTTTATTTCTTTTTAAAATTAGCTAAAATAGATTATTGAGCAAATATTTCATGTGTATAACTTTTCTGTTTCCAAAGCACACAGAATATAGGGAGAAGTAGACCTTTCTCCAATTTCACATTTGTTTCAGAGAGACACCCATAGAGATAACTACGATGTAAGATACAACAGAAAAAGTACAAACTCAAAAAGTGATCAAAGCTATTCAAAAGAAGGAGTGGCTAGAGCAATCAGAAAAGAATTCATTGAGATGAAAGGATGTAGTTGTACTGCAGTAAGAATGGTAACTTTTAGAACAAAACATAAGCCAACTCTTGTAATAATATCAGCCAATACTTATTGAATACTCACTGTACCAGGCAGTGTGTTCGACTGCTTATAGAATGGTAACTTTTAGAACAAAACATAAGCCAACTCTTGTAATAATATCAGCCAATACTTACTGAATACTCACTGTACCAGGCAGTGTGTTCGACTGCTTATCATGCACTGCCACATTTAACCTTCACAATGGTCCCAGGAGGAAGTGTTATCATTGTTGTGTTCATTTTAAAAATGGGACAACTGAGGCATAGCAAGGCAATGTTAAGTAATTTGTCAAAGAATAGAGCCAGAACTGGAACCCAGGGAGATTAGATGCAGAACCTGTACTCTCCACCACCATCTGCACTGCCTCTGGTACATCCCAACTAGGAGTTCAGTTCACTATTTGCTGAAGTGTTTCTAACACTACGTTTTATTAAGTTCACTAGAATTTCACTTTTTATTACTTTCTAAACTTATACTCATCCATGTATGCTGAAAAAAATTGACTTTATTCTTTCATTTATTTCTGACTGACTCAATCTTTCACTTACAGGAACAAGTCCAAAAATTTCTCATGGATGAAATAAAAGTTTGAAGGTATATCAGTAGTTGCCAAACAGTGCAAGAGTAATTTTTTTTTTTTTAATTAAAAACTGATGCGGACTTCTGTGTTACAGTTGTTCCCCTTTGCTCCTCACTTCCTCAACAGAGCTTAGTGTAGAACGGAAAGATTTACAGTCCCAAAATCTGCTGTTCTGGAATAATTTCTAAGGCCATTTCTAGTGGAAATATTTGAGATTTTATACATTCTAGACTTTAGATCCCTGTCTCTCTAGTCTCTAATCTGACATTTCTTTCTGCCTTGGGAAGAAACACACACGCTACCCGCATCCCTTAATCTTCTATCAAGGTTTCTCTATTTGTTTTTCTCCCTTCAGCTTAAATTTCTTAGTAAGCAAGAAAGCTTGCCTTGCAGAGTTCATAATTACTATTGGACTCTTGTGCAAAGGAAATATGTCTAATGAGCTAAAATTTAGAGTACAAATTTGTAGAATTTTAACTTGCTTTAATAGTACATAAAAGAGGTTTTAAATCAATTTTTTTTTTTTTTTGCTGAATTCAGATATTTAAATCCTGAAGGCAAATCTCTGTCTGTATCTTCACTATAGACCCAGTGAATTGGAAAACTAAAGATAAGTACCATGTTTAGGTAAAAGAATAAAGTTGAAAAATTTTTAGTTGACTTTGAGTGCACAAAGCCATATCATCTCATCTATGCCTATTGTTTCCTTTAATTTCTCCTTGACACTTTGTCCATTGTTTTCTCTACTTCTTGAGAATCTAATGCTAATATAACATCTTTATATAGTAGAAATATTTGAGAAGTAACAGGAGAGAGTTATAGGTAATGCCATTCTTGGTACTGCTAGGGAAAGGGGCTCCATTTGTAAATTATCAGCAAGAAAATGTCAGTACCCACCTTGTGGCCCCCAGCAATACACACATCTGTGGTATGATAAATGAAAGTAACACTCAAGGTTTTGGCAATGGGTATATTTCTGTTATGGATTTATTTTCAGCAAAATCACTTGAGGACAACTGCTCCAGCAGAAGATTATGAGTCTCCATTTTCAACAGCATTAATTCTTTAGCACAATACAAGGTTCCTTAAACAGAGTAAAACCAATTCTTGTTCTATGAGGACTTTTCAAAACCACACAGTAGCATATGAAAGGTAGAGAGTGCCTTGCAAATATCTTTTGACTGTTCTGCTGGAGTTGGCCACTTGTTCCTTTGTGTTTCCACTGAAACTGAGCAAATATTTATCACAGCACCAGTGTTACTTTATACCACTTCTTGTTTACGTGCTTCTCTTCTTCTTGTTATTGGCCTTTGTGTCTTCTATCAGCAGCACTTAGCACGTGCTTGGCTCATAATAAATGCTTACTTAATATTCGTTGAATGAAAAGTAATAAATATGAAGTGGTAGATTGTGGGGTACAGTACAGGGTAATCTTGTGAGGGCTGTTTCAGACGGGGGAAGTTTTGTTAGATGTGTGGAGGTGGGAATAAGCAGGCAATGAAAGCCAGTCTGGCTTGCACATGTAGGGAAGGAAAAAGAGATAAGTTTGGACATACTAAAGACTTAGAGACAGTTGATAGAAACTCCTAAAAGTTAGATTTAAAGAATTCAGATTTTATTTGAAAGCAATAGGGAGAGTCTGTCATTCTTTGATCTGGACAATGAGTGATCAAAATAACATTTTAAAGAATTATTCAAATGGGTATGTGCTTATATTAAAATTCATAGGTATAAAAATCAGATTATGGAATATTGACTTTAGTTTGTGGGTTACCAATTGATCCCGAAGGTCTCTGTTTTTCTGTTCTCATCCCACAGGTTGTTATTTTGTATTTTGAGCCAAGCACATTTCGCTGTATTCTCCTGAGATGGGTCCGTCTCCTCGGTTTTGCTACTGTTTATGGAACTGTCACTCTCAAGCTTCACAGGTATGTAATATTTTGTTAGTCTTTATTCCCATGAAGGATTCAAGGTGTTTAGCCTAGATCATAACTGTAAGCTAGATTGGCCACTTAAATGGTTTATTTTCAGTAATTTAGATAGCAAGATGACATATTTTTAACTGTCACTCTCAAGCTTCACAGGTATGTAATATTTTGTTAGTCTTTATTCCCATGAAGGATCAAGGTGTTTAGCCTAGATCATAACTGTAAGCTAGATTGGCCACTTAAATGGTTTATTTTCAGTAATTTAGATAGCAAGATGACATATTTTTAAATTTCAAGACAATGTCTTCTGGCTTCTCTGGGGAAATCTTTAATGCAATTGAACTCTTTGAACAAGACGTGTTAGTAAAATGTGTCATTGGTTATGGAAAGGGTTAATTCTGGAAAAAAAAAAAAGGTTTACAATGTGAAATAGTATTTACCAGCCAAGAATAGAATGGAATACAAAGACAGTACAGCTGAAATAATGCTACATGTCCAGAGCTACCATAGAAGTCCATATAGTAGAATTCAGCAATATGCTTTTTCAACAAAAACTACTGTCCCCATTTCCATGTTTTAGGCCCCAGAGTAATCCTGTGATGTTCTATGGTCGAAGTTAAAAAAAAAAAAGAGGGTTCTTGGCTTTCCTCCTTAACCAGTGTGATCTGGCGATTATCAGTCTTGGAAAATGGAGAATACTGTAAATTCCCTTATACTTAGTTTCATAACCACCTAAATATTAGGAAGATAGAGGCAATAAAATAAATTACCTGTCCACAAAGGCTAGGGATGGCTGGAAATTATCCCTTGCCTTGTCTTTCCAAGTTTAAAGAAAGTCTCAATGTAGTGGTGCCAAAGAGCATAGGAGAGAAAAAATAAATTTCTCCCACAAGATAAAACCATAGTCCTATAGAGAAAACTCTTTGCACTGATCAGCTTTTAAACTTTTTGGATAACCATCATAAGTCATTCATATTTTCTTGCTAATTTGTCCATAAGTGTTTCTCAATAGAAGTCTTCTCATATGGCTCATGCAATAGTTTATCTTAGGTGCCATGAAATGAATTACATTTGTCTTTAAATATCCCCCCCTTTCAATCATTTTTAAAATGTGGTAATTACACTACTATCTACCACACAAGACACTCCATTTCTTTTCCTGTTTTTTGTTTGTTTGTTTGTTTGTTTGTTTTGGTACTAAATTACTAGGAATTCTGTAGATTATCTTTTTGGAACAAACATGAATATTCTTGACCTATCTACCACACAAGACACTCCATTTCTTTTCCTGTTTTTTGTTTGTTTGTTTGTTTGTTTTGGTACTAAATTACTAGGAATTCTGTAGATTATCTTTTTGGAACAAACATGAATATTCTTGACGCTCTGGATTCCTGTCTTCTATACGTGGTATAGTACAAAGAATATAGGAGGAGGTCCAAATATTTCAGAAGGTCCATTTTAAATCTCATTTGAAAGAAATCATAAGCCTCTATTTCCTAAAAGGAAAGGATTAGACGAATCTCTAATGTTCTTCCTGGCTGTCACTTTATTCTATCCTCCTCACACCATGCTTTGCTCCTGTTTCCCTCTCTTCTGCAAGCACCTTCCAGGTTTCCATTTCTTATATAATAGCTATTTTTCAACTGGGGCTAAACAAAGGAAATGGGAAATCAATGACAGCACATAATGGACAATAAACCTTCTAGGTATTGTGAAAGAGTAGGTGCCCTCTTAAGACTTGAAAATGACCTCTCCCCCTACTACACTAGCACTCAGTGTCTATTTGGTCCTCTATTATAATTCATACAGTGCTTTATAGTTTGCTTATTTAATTGTATTTTTCACTTTAATATACCTTCTCCTTGAAGTGAGAGTCTACCATTGAATCCCTAGCACTGAGCACAATGACTGACACATGGGATGTGTTGAATATGTGTTAGTAGATGAGTGAATGAATGGAAATGTCAGATGCAGACCTGGAAGCTGCTTGCCACAGTTCTCTCCACACACAATACATTCATATTCCCTGACTCACTGTGTGCTACCTTAGTATGTCCCCAAGTGCCTGGAATACATAACACTGTGGTCTGCAAGAGGATGTGTGATGTGATGTGACATGGTATTAAATAGTACTGAATCATATAATGAACAGATTACTTCCATTCACATTCTCTTTCAAACCTTCTGATTATTTCTAAGAGGAAGATTAGTTTGGAACTAGGAGGTCTTCAACACTTGCCAAACTAATCTTCCTTTGCAATAGAGTGAATCAGGCTTCACGCTCAGAGCTTTTCACTGCAATGCTATCTCGGTAAGATTCATTATCTTTGTTTCACTGTATTTATTTTTATAGTTACTTTCTATTTATGGAAAGTGTTATTTATCAGTTTTTCATTTAATGTAGCAATATAAAATTTTCTTTAAAACATTTTAAAGCAATAAATAGAAATTGATTTGAAGAAAATATTAGCTGGTGCACAGATACAGCAGAAATCTTGAGAGTGATATGCAAATAATTAGAATTTGGGAAACTAGGGTACTTCATCATCTCTTTTGTTTATTTTAAAGACTGAAATTAAAATTATTTTCTTTGGGGCCGGCCTGGTGGCGCACTGGAGAGTGCGCCGCTTGGGAGCGCAGCGGCGCTCCCGCCGAGGGTTCAGATCCCATGTGGAGACCAGTCCCTGCTCACTGGCTGAGCGCGGTGCAGACGCAACACCGAGGGGTGCGATCCCGTTGC